CCTATATCATTCCAAGTGCATTTTTTGTTATGGCTTGAAAATTCAGGATTAACTTCTAACTGATCAGCCAGTGAATAGCATGATCTAGACAGGCCAAGCTTCTGCAGTGGTGTAAAATGAATCATGTTGTAACCTATGAAATAAGAAACCATTGATTTCATAAGAAAATCAAATTTTAATAAAAGAAGTTGACAGACAGACACATAATTAGTTAGTTATAGCATATACATAAGCCTAGCATTTGAAATATCCAGCATAAATTAAATCTTTACTTTAAAATTCTAAATAGTATTTAAAAAAAAATTATCCTCTAATTTCTACAAACTTCATATCTGTATGAAATCAATAGAATACAATAAAAGTATTAGGACATCCTGACTTTTTGCACTACTGCAAATACTTAAATTTGATTACTTACATCTACTGACTTAATCTGTTAATTAAAATTGAATCCGGGGGAAAATATTTGATCTACAAACTAAAGGACTACATGAACTGTGAATTCAGTGCAACTGTTTTCTTGTCACAAGATTAATTAAAGTGCATCCTATGATATCTATATTGGCATTACCTGTTTCTTTTGCAACTTTAAGCCTATTTTCCCATTCATGGAATGGTCCCAGACACTTAGCAAGGAATGTCTGGAGTGTAACACAGTCCAAAGGTAATACATGGTTATCGGCTCCAACACGCAAAATAGGATCCACAACTATGTAACCTCCACCACTTTTCTCATTTCTAGGAGAAATAATTTTCATTGGTATGATAAACACACATTGCACCAGTCAGTTTCAGAAACAAAACCCAACAAGCACAACTATTTCAAACGCACAGTAACTCAGAGGAGTGGCTGGGGAGAAAGGACTGTGGGTAGCCTAAGCAGAAACAATGGAGAGATGTTGATCTCCTAGGCAGCATCTCTCTGCTGGGCTTACAACAGCTGCTAACAAGAACACCATTGGCACACAGTTTTAAACTCTATGCAAGTAAGATACCTTTGTTACCTTAGGAGACAGGATACCGCTTCTTCTTTTAGAATATGGATGGAAACAAAGAAAACATGACTGCCTATCTTTTACATGAAGACCTCCATTTGGAGCATTATCCTGGGAAAGAGATCTGAGCTAGATGCCCTTTTAAGCCAGAGGGAATCTAACCACCAGCTATCTTACAGGAGCTCAGAATATTAGGCCATTACAGTCACCCTCCTCTGTTGAAACAAAGAAGGAAGTAAATAACGTCAAATAAAGAATGGCAGAGCCTTTACACTAGAAAGATAGAGAACAACCTCCTATTAAATGAAAAAAGTACAGATTAATCACTCGTGTTTAAAATCTGATGACTGAAATCTGGTAGAACTCTTCTGCTTTTCCAATATTCACAGAAAATTGATCACCATTGCAAATTCTCCAGAACATATTTATATCAGAAAATCTTCAATAACCTCAACAACTGTTGCTATTGAGCAGATTCAGATAGATTTCATAGTTGCATTTAAGAAATCCATAGAAAAAAAATCATGATTTTATTCTTAATAGCAATTTCTTCAGGTTAAAACAAACCAAAGGAGCAGATTGCATGATGGCTGTAAGCATAGTGCTTCACTTACCCAAGACTAAAATAGTACTGATACGACCCAGAAATTTGGAGATCTAACTTGCAATATTTGTCAGAGTCATCCTCTTTTCCTGTGGGATTGTGCCATGATAACGTTCTGAACTTGTGGCGATCAAATACTTCTCCAGAGGCTGGATAATTTGTACACACAGTAACGTGCTTGCCTTGAAGAGTTGGGCCCAATCGAAACTGCAGTTCAAACCCTCAAGGAAAAAAAGAAAGAAAAGAAATCTCATCAGGAGGACTGGACATTTCTACTCTGTAATAACAAACTGTACTTTGGTTTTATGTTAAGAAGAAAATGCACTAATGTATCTGTCAAGACCTTTTGCAAAATGGTATAATCTACAGCATCTTTTCCTCCTGCTTTCCAAATTTTTTTCTTTGCACTCTCCATTGAAGTCTCTCATTACTGAGTGCTTTTCATCTCCTATTCAATTTGTTCTGCTTTGCTTTATAAAAAAATGTTGGAAATAAAATGCAACAGAAGATCACAGTCATCAGACTACATACAATTTTAGGCAGGTTGTAGTACTGTGAAAAAAATACAATCTAAAAGGTAAAATTAAAGTTTACCAACTCATTATATTAAATTGATTCATGAAAATATCTGGAAAAAAGGAACAAATTTGAAACCATAATACTTCAATTTCTTTAATTCCCCACAGAGAGAATTCACTAAAGTCTAAATTCCTTATGGCTTAACTGCAAGGTGGTGGATATCTGTGTGTAATCTAGAGGGTACATACCATTAAACTGAGAGCTCAGCAAGTTTAAGTGAGCTTTGTCTACATGCTGCAACTCATGCACACTTCAGGGAGAGCTGTATTTAGAATAAAGATACCCATGATAAAGGCACTACAATTAAGTTTAAAATATTATAATGTGAAAACGTGTTGTAGTCTGTTCAGCTGGATATGAAGAATACAATTTAGCTGGTGAGTTTCAGAATTGGTCTTACTTGAAGGTATGAGAGCCTCTTACTACGTACCTAGCTAGTCACAGAGTCCTTCCAAATGACTGAAAGAGGTACAAGTGCTTGCACTCTACTTCTGACTTCTACGGAATTACACAGCAGTCATGAAGGTTACTGTAGTAACATAGCTACTAGCCATAATGGTCTACAGAATTGGAATTTTAAGTAAAAGTAATTTGTGTATTTGTAAAAAGAGAAAGCTATCAATGTACACGTAATGAATTTAAAGGATTGAACAGTCCTATAACATGCTATTTTAAATTTGAGCAAAGTGAAACAGACAAACCAACCCAAATAAGTGCTCATCGTGTAGAATCCTAGCAGATCTACTATGAGAAGTTGATCTCTGAGTACACATAAATCAAAGTCTCACCAAGCTTACACTTTCTCTTATTAACAACTACTACACCAAGAACTTCAGATAAAACAGTGGTTTTAGGATCTGAATGTCTGTCATGTAAAATGAAGCTCATTTTATTGCCAACAAAAACAAATCTTCCATGAAAAAATTCCCTTCTGAAGGCTTAGTGCACTCTCTCTGGTACAGTCCTGACATTTTATTGCAGGGATGACTAAAATTAGAGCACAAGGATATATGGCATCAATATCTTATTTCCTGTAACAGTTATACTGATATGAAGAACGCTGTGCTCAAAATTAGCCATGGCCTCTAAGAGACTGTCACCAGCAGAGGTGTTCTGAATGTTTGATAGGAGAGCATTTCTGAATCCCTCCAACTTACACAACTGGGAGGAAGATAATAACAAGGGTTGGGGCCAACGCCGCACTTCTTCCCTAATGATATTTTTTAGATTACATTGTCAGAAAGTTTTAAAATTGATATACTTGAAGGAAGTTTATTCTCAAGAGTCAAATCTCCATTCTCTTTACTGAAGAACTTTGATGCGAGGCTCCAACATAAAGTGAAAGTAAGCAGAACAGTTTAATGAGCAGTAACAGTTGCATCATTAGAAAAAGGTTGCTAAATAGACTGCCTTTGACTTTAGAACCCAAATTTGCTGACCAGCATAATAATAAACGGGTTCTAGGTGGGATTGTCTTAGGGAATACGCTTAAGAACACTTTCAAAGAGAAATATCAAGTTCATGTTAGTATGCAGCCAGAACACCAATGCAATACAGACAAGGAAAATCTGACAGGCAAGATAAGATTTAGGGTCCTGTATTCTAAAACATCACCTCAGGCATTACAAAAGGTTTCTATCTTTACTCTATTTCAATATTATTGTATTAAAGACGAGGCGTTGCATAACACGACGCAGATTAACATTACAGTTTGACTTACGAGGACGTTTCAGGGTCAGTACAGCCCGGTTTGTACAGGGAGAGCCTCTGTCCCACAGGGGCCGCATAACAAACATCAGAAGAGGGAGAAGCACAAACAGAGCCCTACAACAAACCAGCCCCGGCCTTCCTCGCTGCCCGAGGGCAGCGGACAGCCCCCGCCGACATCGCGTCACCCGGCCCACCTTGCTCCAGCCTGAAGAGGGTCTTGTCCAGCTTCTCCATCTCGTTGAGGTGCAGCAGCCGCGTCTCCTTATGGCTCGGCATGGCTGCTGGCGGCCGCTCGCGGCGGGCTCAGCGCGGGCGAAAAGCGGCGAGCCCTGCCGGGAGAACAGACGCAGACACACACAGACACACACAGCCGCGGTCAGCGAGCACCCGGCAGGCAGGCGGCCGGCCGCTGGGGAACGCCTCCCGCCGCCAGGCCCGCTTACATCTTCCCCAGCCCCGGGGCGAGAGAGACGGGGCGCGGGCAGGGAGGAGGAAGGGAGCACCCCGCCCTCCCCCGAACGGCGGCACGCGAGAGCGGTCCCGGCCCCGCAGCTGCCGCAGCCGCCCGCGGGGGGGCCGGCACCTGTCACTGCCGCCCGCCGAGCCCCTCACGCAGCCCTGCCCGCGCGCCCCGGCGCCCTCCGTACTCACGAGCGGCCCGCAGCGGCGCGCGCGGCTCCCGGTGAAGGCAGCGGCGGACAGGGCCGGGCCGACCCGACCCAACCGCTCGCAGTCTGCAGCTCCGGGCCGGCCAGCGGCGACAAACGCCCGCAGAACCCCTTTCCCCCGCCCTTTTCTTGCTTTTCTCAAATAAACTTTACCGGTTCCGCCCGGCCCCGCTTCGAGGCGGGCGGTGCCGGCACGGCTCGCGCGAGAGCGATGTTCCCGCCCCGGGGCTGTGGCCGGGCCCGCCCCGCGCTGCGGATGGAGCCGGAGCCGCCGCTCGGGTCTCCGAGGCGCTCTCAGGAGCGCGGGGTGGCGGCGCTCAGTTTAGCGGCCTGGGCTCCCGGCGGTGCCTTTCCCGTGCGGTGCGAGTCAGCGAGCACGAGGAGCTGCCCTCCAGGGGAGCTCGGGCTCTTGAAACAAAGGTCTGCGCGGTGCGAAGGGCGTTAATGACCGCCTGGACGCCCGGCGAAGCTGCCGCGTTTGTTCCCCGAGCGCCGCCGCCTCACAGCCCGCCCCGCTACAGGGGAGCCCGGCGCCGGCCGGCGTGCAAAGCGCGGTACGCGGCGTGCGCCGAGGGCTGCCAACCCCAGGCAGCTTTCGCTATTCGAACGCGAGATGTTTTCGAAGAACGCCGTCGCCCGAACGGCTGTCAGCAGGCGGCCCCGCGGCGTAGCGGCTGCCTCGGCTCTGACGCCGTGAGCTGCCCCCGCTGGAAAGGTCAGCCTCGCGTTTTTGGAAGGTCAGTCTATTTTTATGGTCTAGAACTGCATTAAAAAAAAAATTGCTTCTCGATTTACAGCCCCTATACTGTTTATTTCCAAAGATAGCATACTTAAGGAACTAGAAGTCTGCAAGACCATTTAGACTTAACCATTTGCTTCCAGTCACCCAATGCACCTCATAACTGCGCCTTGCTGCAGTGCGTCCCTCCTGCCTCACTGCCCCTAACTCAGTTTGCTAAGCAGGCACATTCCACAAACAGGATGGACTTGCTGGAACAGAAGCACAGCTCCACACGCACACAGTTCTCTCCATTGGAGTAGTCCTAGCAAAAGACACAATGTAGCCTTTGAGTGCTTACAGGGGATTTTTACAGGGGAGTGCAACTTTCTTATACCAGCAGATAGCAATAAGACAAGGAAGGAAGCACAGAGGTTTAGGTTAGGTGTTAGGAGAGCAGTTTGTTATTCAGAGTGTAGTGAGGTACTGGCCCAAGGCTGCCCCATCTCTGGAGACAGCCAAGGCCAGGTTGGATGGGACCTGGGCCCCCAGATGATCTTTTGGGCTACTTCCAGCCCAAGCCTTTCTATGGTTCTGTAAATTTACAAGAGGAGGAAAAAAAAAAAAGCAAACTCAACAGACATAAAATTAAAAGATATGACTATATCTTTTGTATGGTCCTCAGTATCCAGAAATTGCTTTGCAGTTGTGCTACCACAGAGCCTTGCACCAGTGCCTCTGCCTCCAGGCTTACTAGAGGCCTATCACATACTGCAAACAGGGAAGGATATCAATCAAGACCTCATGAGATCTCCACATGTGAACAGTCCCAAGAGAGAAAGAGCAAATAATACCTATGTAATCACATCCTTTGCATATATAACTAGTTTGTGCATGTTTCTGAAAAACAAGAAAAGCTAGAAGGCTATTCCTGAATGCAATTTCACTACTACCAGTAAGACTGTCTTCTCTACTTGAATTTCCATTGTGAGTAGGGAAACTCACTTCAGTAACTAAGTCTGCACTGTCATCTGGGCAATGCATACTGTGGATTCAGTCATGTTTTGAACTGCATTCAGGTTTATGTTAAAGAATTTTTGAGTCTCACAAGAAAAAATAAGGAAACAAAGCTAGCATACAGCCTCTGATTCCAAATCCTGAAGGTGTTACATTGGCCAACATTTATGGCAGTAGCTAGAACAGGCATCAAGAATCTAAATGAAGGACTTGATGCACTACAAAAGGTCAAGTATCATTAAATAGCATAGTAATTAAAGCAGTGTCATTTCACTGGCCATCAGTAAGAAAAAAGACTACTACAAGGTTGCTAAACGAATATGCCAACTTCCCTAAACCTCTATGCCCATCACCTGATATGCTGGCATATCTTTAAAGACTTTGGGCCTGTTTAAATTCAGCAGTGATAAATTAAGCATGCTTTCTAATTATGGGAATCACACCAGCAAAATCTGGCATTGTTAACAACGCACGGAACACAGTCAACAGTAGTTACACATAGCATTTATTACACAGGCATCTAAATAGTGAATATCATAGTGCCATTTCATCTTCATGAAACACATATGATACACTACAGTATGAAAAAATAATGGCTTCAAAGTAAGAATGGACACCGTATCAGTGTCATTTCAAGGAAATTTTCTTTTTTTTTTTTCAAGCATATTCAGAATTTCAGATTTACATTAACTTTTAGACCAGAGTAGATTTTTATGGCTGATCTATAAAGCCTTGTGTATAATCAAAGAATATTAAGATGTTATAATATAACAAGAAAGTTAGGCAAAGCCGATTATAATAACACAAAGAGAACAGATAAGATGCTTACCCATATCCTGGGCTCACTCAGGAAACTCCAGAGTGGATCTCCAGAAGAGATCCTTGCCCACTGGTAGCTCTTAAACAGCTCTAGGAGAGGTGGAGCCAGGCTCCACCTTTTCCAGCAGTACAGGTGAATTGCCTTCACCTGTGCTCCCATGGCTGACTCATTGCTTGCCTCAGGTGATCAATCAGAGGTTCAGGCCATGACTCAGCAGTTCCCATACACCTTGCAAAACTGCATCTGCTACTTACATGTAGCAGAAATAATCACAAAGCCTAGAGTACAGTATCAATTTGAGTATACTAATAATAAATACATCTTGATTCTACAAAATAAATTCACTACAGCAGTTCTACTCTAGTACATTAGTTTGAGCTCAGCTTTCTTGTTGGTGAATATGCTGGACTAATACACTTCTTTCAGGTTCCCCCCCTCCCATACGCACCCTCCTAGTACTCTCTTCCTTTCTACATTCTGTTCCACAGCACAGTATTACAGAATACTTCTCCTAGGAGTGGCCTCAATACACTTTCAGGTCACACTTGAGTCCTTTAAGTCATGGCCATCTTCAAGATTAACTTGAAAGTGTAGTAAAGTAGAAAACTTGCAGGAAGGTTTTTTTTTTTTTTCCTATAAAGAAAGAAAACTCACAGAACAGTAGCTCCCTATAACAATAGTGAAAGTAAATTAGTACAGAGAACTTAACTGAAATTCAAGTTGCCTATGTACAGGAAATATTTGATTTTATAAAATCTAAAGTGGTAGTATTGTTTTTCTCAATGCCTCAATATCTGATCTGTAAATTGATGAATACACACAAAGAAACAAACAACAGGAAGCTCTAGGCTATTTTTTAATCTCTCTTCTAGATAGAACAGATTGCAATAGTTTGATATGGAAAAAAAGATAGTTGGCACAATTAAAATAGCATTCATGAGAGATCATGAGATGGAGAGGCTAGGGCAATAATTTGTTCTTACCAAACAAGTAAACACCTTTTGCCCCACCTAGTCATCTGGAAGTAATGGTTCAAACTGTCAGAGCTGAATTTGGAGTCATCACAAATGTTTGTACTTCAGAAAACACATTTATGGTTTTGTTTTTATTCCTACCTCTGTCATTCTCTCACTCTGAGGTTTCAAACAAGTCATAATTCCTGCCAAAATATCTGTATAAAACTACATCACCAATAATTATTTTAGTATACATTTGTAAAATTTAATGTATTTTCTTTAAAGAAGCCCAAAAAAGATTTTACTGTTGTTAATGTAGCTATTCACATACTTGATTAAGATATATTTGACTGCAATTTAACTAACAATGTCACACTGATTTGGTATTATGTTCTTCTGAGAATGTCATGACTTGGCACGCATGATTTTAAACTAAGGATTTGAATGGTATTCTTGTACCATTTAACTTAGTTAAATGTAAATGAGTCACATGGGCCAGACCAGATTTTTTTATTTAACAAGTAGAATTTATTATACCAACTTGCTGAATCACTGCCAGCATTTTTGTTTTACTGTAAGTTGTTTCAGTTAACTCTAATAAAATATACTGAGACCTAAGACTCCAGACTATCTATTTCCAAAGTAATTCTAATAACGCTTTGTTGAGTAGAACTGCTCTTCTTTTTTTATATATAAATTTCCTCCTCAGAAATAGATATTTGAAGTGCTTCTTGAGCACTCTGTTTTCTTTACAGTGCTCTTTCTTATCGTATCAAACTGCCACAAGGCTACCACGGATGTTTTCCTGGTCCATTGAAGTAACTATTTTTAAATCTTATTCAGATCTTAGAAGTCCACCACAATTGATATATTGCAGACTGTCAACACAGAGCAGTTCATAGGCCCTTTAAAACCTATGCAAACATTTGTGTGAAGCTGGCTAAAGTAACAGCTAAAGTCCCTGCAAGCATACTCAGCTATTGCTGCACAAGGGGTGCTATGCAGGTACCAACAAGCATACCACTGCATCTAGCAAACAGCATTGCTCACTGAAATCCCCAGGGAAAAAGTAAATGTGCTTTAACTTAGAGCATCCACACGCAAAAAAAAAATATATATATCTCAGTTCTAAACGAAGCATAAACAAAGTCTCAAAGGAGACAGACTAAGAATTACTCAGGATAAGGTAGAAAAACCCATTCAGTGCTTGGGAAAAGCCCTCTAAAATTAGATAGGAAGAAACAGAAAATTAATTCTCAGTCACAGAAAAAGAAAGGCAAAAGAAAAAAGAAGAGTCAGTGTGCAGAAGAGCATTATACTAGATTTCAATTCATTTTGTAGTTTCACATAACAGATTGTGTCATCAGGTGTTAAGTACCATGAACTGAGCCACTTGTTTCTCAGTGCTTCTTCCAGCAAGCTAGTTGCTCCCTGAGAAGTAGAACAGTAGCATCTCAGCACATCTTGCAGATATAATGAAATTAATAGTAAGAATAGATACCTCATAGAAGGAGGAAGAATATAGAACCTCAAAGAAGCTAACTAGTCAGTACTTTTTTGAAGAAGCTTTAGATGTGTGCTTCAGACAAACTGATGGCCTACATCCCTTAGAGTAGGTAAAGTGATTTTATTGCAGTACTTCATCAACTGACTTAATTATGCTGTGTGCTGAGTTAGGCAGGAACTCTAGGAAAATCTAGGAAAAGTGGCAAGTTGTTACTGTATCATAATTCCTGGACAGACATAGCTCAAATTGCTGCCAGCAACTAAAATCAATTCTATTATTTCAGATGAGCAAACAAATATTGTTTAAACTCTTTTTACATCAAAGTAGATGCTCATTGTGATAGAAAGATATTCCTCATGTATGTAACAATACAATAGAAAACAGCAGTAACAGTGGGATGATAAAGTCCTACACTACAGTAAGGGAGAATAAATCCAAATGCAGCAGCCACAGACACACAAGCAAAAGAAAAAAAGTTGCTTACCTTCAAAAGTCCACTAGAACAGAGGAATCTCCAGCAAAACACTCTTATTACCCTTCTGCTGGCCCTTAAATGAGGTCTGGGAAGGGTGGATCCAGTCTCCACGCCTTCTGATCACTCAAGGGCATTGCATACACCTGAGCTCCCCTGGTTTGGCCCTGCCTTCCACCAGGTGCTCAACCTCTGTTTCAAGTCATGACTTAGCATTTCTGCTACAGGGTATTTAAGCTGTTGATGAATCACAGCAGGGACAGAAAATTAATTTTTTGTGGTGTAGGAGTTGTTATGTTCCTTTGTGGATGCTGCCACCAGGTGGCTGGTTCATGTATTTGTTTGTAACCCATAAATACTGTTTCCCTTTAATCTCTGGGTGGTATTTTTTATATATATATATATATATATAGTATATGTTAAGTATGTATACTATGTATAAATGTGTTTTCTAGGGCTTTTTTTTTTCTTGTATGTGATGCAAAAGATTTAAAAAACAAGTAATAAACAAAAGATATGATTAGCAGATAAAAATTGAGCCCAAAGGGAAATGTGTATGTAAGGAGTTTTTCTGGAGGTCAAAGGAATGCATTTATCACTTTATTGGTTAAAGGGTAAGTCAGTTGATAAAACTGCTGAGTTTCAAAATTTGCTGAAGTTCAATAAAAGGAATTAAGCACAGAGAAAAATATTTTGTTCTCCTCTATGACCTTTATCTTCATTTGTTGTCTTTTAGATGGTCAGAATCATTTCCATGACTCAAGTTTCCCTTTTCTTTGTGGAGGAAAAAAAAAAAACACCATATGAAAACTGCATTATAGGAAAAAGACCTCATTCTAAGGTAATGTTTTTTCCATATTTCCCTAATATGGACTTAACCAAGGTAATAAAGCTGAAAAGTTTGAAAATCACTTGATTTAAATTCAGGTATGTCCTGTAGTGATAATTTCACCAGTAACACAAAGGAACTGTTTACCTAGTGCCAATGCCTATAGAACCTGAGTATGGGATGACTTTCTAGAATGCCACGGTTTTGCTGCACGGTTAGATTAGTAGCTAAGAGGAAAACTGATTACAGGGAACTACATAATAGCATGGGGTCTGCTCAAAGCTAGCTGCAATGGCTTATTGTTTTCCATGTTACTTTATAATTAAAAAAAACTCCAAAAAAAGCTCCACAGGTATCAGTATATGCACTGGAATGTATAATACTTAATTTTCAAAATTATATGCTTTGCTTGTTTTCTCAGTTCTTAAACAACAGAGATTTGCCTTTATGTACTTATTGTGCAGTTATCTTTGCTTAATTACTTTTGCAATTATATGCTTTCTCTTACTTTCTTGTAGCCATGTTAGAATATATGCAAAAAAAGTCATCAGCTCCTTTTTATATTTGATGTTATGTTATTTTTCATAACAAAAGGAATTTGTTATCCATTTGACATAATCTTCCTCTGGAGTAGTTCAGTAGCAGATTACACAACTTTATTTCTCTTCAAATTTGTAGTAGGGATAAAAGCTGACCTCCAGCCCTCTGTCTCTAACTGATAATGTGGTTAAGGTAGAAATCTCTGCTTTGCAATAAATACGGTACTGTTAAAATATGTTAATACAGCTATAACTGCAGTACATTTTACAAAGATACATACTTCTATAGTTTACATGCTTGAATTTGCTTCCTTGATACTACTTGGATGCTGACGGTTAAGAACAAATTAACATGCAGTATTACTTCTGTATACTTTTATATTTCTAACTGTTTCAGAGGCATAGACCTCATTCTGTCAATGGGTCAAGACCTTAACATAAAATCTTCAAAACTGTTTGGATATTAATTCATATTGTAGATTGTGTAAGCTGTGAACTCAGATTTTGGAATTCTGCTGTATTCAGTAGATGCGACTTATAAAGAAGAAATGACTAAATCAATGGAGTTTGACACCACTGGGAGTGCTCAGACCTCCTAATAGGTGCCTGAATCACCTGAGTCTCCCATGAAGTATTTGTTGACACAAACACAATGTTTCTATTCTGTGGGAAGGTGAAATTCCTTTTCTGCAGAAAGCAGGTAAGGGCAAACTTCTCCTTTCTGCAAAAAGCCAGAAAGAAGATGTGTCTAGAGGTGTGTTTGTTGAGGTGTCTGACTTCTCAGTGAGAATCTTCTGGAAAATGCTTAATACATGCTTTTGGATCAAATGGTTGCTCAACAAACAAACCATTATTTTGTGCACAAATTAAAAGAGGAGGATCAGTTCTGCCAACAGAGGTCATGCTGTAAGCTCAGCCAGTAGGAACTGTGGTGGCTCTACTCGTGCTTTGTAGGGTGGGTTGTGTGCAGTAATGCTGTGTTTCTAGGAAATAAATGACTACTTCTCTTGTTCTGCTGTTGTGTGTGAACAATTAAAAACTGAGTAATATGAAGAGAAATAAATTTCAGAGCAGACTGTGTATTGTCAGCTTTGCCAACAAAGATCCAGTTACAAACAATACGTAGTTACTTCCTCGATAAGAAAATCCCGGCTGTGCAAGCATGTCTGTACGAGCGTGCAAACAGCACTGCAAATAAACTCGGCACGGCAGTGCTTTTACAAGGACGAGGTCTGGCTAAAACCTGTGGGGCAAGACTAGTTGCAAAATCAGTGCACCCCTCACCGCCCCCGGTTCTCGGAGGCAGGAGAGAAATCCCGTAGCCGGGAAGCCGCATCCTACAGACCCGCGCCGGAGCAGCGACGTGAGCTGAGGCCTGAGCTGCAGGCGGTGCCTCCCCTCGGGCCGCTCCCGCCCCTCCCCGCACCAGAGGAGCGACCGCGGCGGAGGGCGGAGCCGGCAGGTGAGGGGTGGCCGCGGCAGCCGGCCGTGCGGGGTCGCGCTGGAGGGAGCGGGCTGCGGAGCTGCTGCGCTGGACGTGCTCGAAGCATAGGTACAGCGAACCTTCTGAAAGCTACTTGCGCTTACTAGAATGGCTAGAGCAATTATGAAGCAGATTGAAATCCGGCGAACTTTTTGAAACGCCTCTGAACTGCCGCATTCAACGCAGGCGTTTCTGAATCTCTGTAAAGAGCTTCTGGGCGTATTTTCCTTAACGAGGTTTAAATGCTAAATAAGAGCAATAAAAGTAGGCTCGGGCTTAATGCACCTGAAAGCACAGCACTCAAGTTCTTCTGGTGTCCAGTTTGCTTCTTAGTCTTCTATAACCATTACTATCTTTATTCTGTTGTTAATATGCAGGGGACGTAGCTGAATGAGGGCTGTTACAGTTGATGCTGTGCTTGAAATTGTCGGGGTAACTGAAACAGGGCCAATCCTACATCAGCCTGCGGCTTAGTTAAGAGGGCTTTTTGCATAGGTACAAGTTTGCAAGGTTGAGGTCTTTATGGTTTATTCACAGAGCAGCTGTTCAACAGAAGATTAATAAAATAATTAGGGTGAAATCTTTTGCTCTTGTCCACTCTTGGTAAAGGTATGGGGGAAGAAAGGGAAAAACAGGCAAAACCTTATCATGTTCCCTTCTTGAGAATGCCTATCCCTCTTCTAAAAGAAAGTATCTTTTCAATATAATCTAATAAGCTATAAAGTCATGCTTTATATTTGTTATGCTTTGAGGAGTAAGGTATGAAAAGTTTGTTGGCTATTTTTTTTTTATTTTTGTTATCCCTGTAACTGCACCGAAAGATAACTGCAGTAATGACTTAATATGAAACTGCTCTGTGGAAGTTCAAACCAAAAGAAGCTATGGGGATAGTGCTTCGTTATAACTTCATGCAATTCAGCTGAAGTCTAGGAGATTGTGGGCTTAGCTGGGGGGACAACCATGAGATATGTGCCTTATCTCTCATAAATGTTTCCTTTGTAGCATCTGGGTACTGTTTCTTGTTGCAGAACTTCCTCTGATCCCAACAATGATAAAGATTAACACTGAGATGCAAATCAAGTAGAAGTTAAATGCATTATATGTTCACTTACTACAAGTAGAAAGCCAAAGGCAATTTTTTTTTGACTTCATCACTGTTGCAGAAGGATTGGCTGTAAGGTAAGTACTTGCATTTGAATTTATAAAAGTTTGTTTAGAAAGAAGTTAGAAGTCTTAAATTTCTCCTTGAATGTCTTCAGTAGGAAGGGCATGAAGATGAGCACGTATGTTTTGTTGTCATGTGAGTCTAGGTGTATGTTCCCTTTTTCATTTTGAGAAGCAAGGAATTATTGTGAATGTGAATCCTATCTATTTTCTGCCTTTGCTTGTGCAGCTGTTCTGATACAACAATGTTTAAGTGAGCAGGAGAAATTAACCCAAGCTCCTTTTCTCAGAGGGAAAAATGATTCTTGAACAGTTTGGTTCTCTGCTTCTGTGTGTGTGTTGTGTGTGTTTGTTTGTTTTTTAAGAATATGCTTCAAAGGAAATGTGGCAAAGTATCATGTGGGCAAACATCTTTGGTTCTTACAGCTTATTCTGCTTTAGACAGCTTTTTCCTTTCCTGCTTGCCCTCTTCTCTTATGGTTCTCAGGAGACAAATCTTGACCATGATGGCTTTTATTACTTCTGGTTGGCAATGTCTTTGTTTCACCTCTCTCCTCCCTCTCTACAACTAGCGTTAGGCTTCATACTATGCAGCTAATGAAGTTTTGTTAAATAATTGAAAGACAATTTGTGCAAAGAGATCCTCTGTTTGTGGGCATTGTGCTCACTGTGCTCTTTGAGTTGCCAGGGCTTTCTAAGCTTTCTGTGCCTGCAGAGACTAGGAGTCTTTTCAATACAAGAAGTAAGCTTAAAGTGTGCAAATTTAGCATGGACCCTGTGGTTCCCTGTGTTTTCTTCAGAGATATGATAACACAGAAACACGGCCATACAAGTGCTGTGTATTTATAGATAACTGCCCCAAGAAACATCTCTAATTTTTAATTCTTTAGTTGTTTTGTGGTCAGTTCTGAAGCCACATGATAAATATCTAAATCAGGCTGCCAGATTAGCCAGCTGAAGGTGAGTAACTGTGACTTCTCTCTCATCCTTTCCTTCTTGGTGGCTGAGTGAAAATGCTGCTTTTTTTTCTTTAAAACTGGGTGGGTTTAATGTGTCCATCTAAAAGACCATTGAACTCCTTCCTGTGTTTTATACAAAGCCTGTTGGATAACCCCTAGCAGTCCAGTTACTAGCTGAAGCTGCATGGATGTTTTTTGAGACTTTTCATAACGATACGAACTGAATAATTAGCTACAGAGTGACTGATGTTATGATAGTGTTTCCTGTCTTCATTCAGCATGTTTTACTCTGTAGGTGAAGTGCTGGAATATACTTCCAGGTTAAAAGGGAAAAAAGGACTTTTCAAAGCAACTGAGTAACAAGTTCAAGGGTAAATTTTAATCTGGAAGGTGCTATTCTTTAAAAAACAAACAAACAAAACTCTCTCCATTCCTTGAAAATACAGAGAGATTACCATAGTTAATCCTCTTTCAAAAATAAAACAAAAATAATAAAAAAAATTGCTTCCCTGTACAGTACTTCTTTTTCTGCAAGCTTTTGAGTTGAGGATATCTGCCAAAGAATATTATTTGTTTCAAATCCTTACCACATCCTTTGCTACTTCAGCTAGAATGTGAACCTGCTCTTTCTCTTGTCTCGTTAAAATTCAGCTTTATCTCCTCTGGCAGCAGCTTTTTTTTGAAGATTTCTCTTAGATGTGTAAGTTAATTTAATACCACAATTATTATGAGGCTTGGTTTTTAGCCTCCCAAAGACTGTCTTAACATACAAATCTCCATCAATGCAGATTATTTCATTTGTATAGGTATTGAAATTAAAAGAAAACATCAACTTAAGTAGACATTATCGGTACCCTAGATGAGTATTTAAGGAGTTGAGTGATTTTTTTTCCTCTGGTTCTCTGGTTCCTGAAATGTAACTGTTCTATCCCTACCCCTAAATTTTCTTGTCTTTGCTGATATAAAGTTGCCAAGGGGCTCTTAAATTGAAACAGAAATGCAGCTTTGCCTTGGATATTGCAGATGTTTAGCACTGAATGTATAAGGAGTCTAGGAAAATTAATATTGATTATTCTTACGTTGTGTAGGACTAATGACATCTTTTTTTTTTTTTTTTTTTTTTTTTTTGACTTTAGATATCAGAGCTCAGCTTGAAACAGCTCTGTGCCCTTCTTATCTTCACAACCACATGTGCTGTCAGGGAACTTCTTTACCTGATGTTTCTTATCACTTAGTGTAAAATGGACATGACTCCTCCATAAAGCAGACACCATAAAGCATGTATTTGCCTGATACATGTTCTGCTGGAGCTGATAACCAACTCTTTTTTGGTCTAAAGATTGAAAGAATGGGGTCTTAGTTCTCCTAACCCATTGAACATAAAAATTCTGGTTGACCAAATTTTTCTGCAAATACTGGGTGCTGACTGTAAGGCCTTCATGCTGCTGAGTAACGAAACAGTTACTACAGCTTTCCTGAAAACAGTATTGTGTCAGAGCAAATCATCACATAATAAATGCTGGGATTAAGGGGTTCTTGTAACTGTCATAGGCTATTCAGTCACATGACTTCACATGGTTTTTCATGTTCCTCAGTTCCTTAAAGAAATTATATCAAGAAATCATCTCGTTTGGAGGTCCAGCATTCAAAAGAATTTCTAAGATAGTCTTCTGCTTTTCTGTGATAACAATATATTTCTTTGTCTATCTCCTCATATCAAATTCACACCCTTCTGCTTGTATAAAATCTTTCAGACATCTGGTAACTTTAGTCTTCTGAAGAAAGAAGAACTTGTCACCTGAGAGTTCTCTGTCATACGTGAAGCAATAGACACGAGTTGTGGAAAAAAATAGCAACCTGTGATGATACATAGTTTGGAGCTATGATTAATAAATGAGTGGGAGTGATGTTAGCTTGGTATTTCCTAAAAAATGTGGACCTTTATACATAAATGAAAACATTAACATCTCTCTATACTATAGATTTGTTTAAAGGACTTGGATTTTTTCTTTTTCTTTTTTTAATGAGAATGGTATAGCTGTAAGTAGAGGAATTTTTTTTAGTGATTTCTGAATTTGCTAAGAAGAATAGTCCATCTATTTGTTATTAATACTCTTGAACATAAAAATGGCCTAAAACTCAATATCCGTGAATGTTCTTGCAATATTATGGTAGTTATTAGAATTACAATAAGGGATTAATGTTTTCTCTCACACGCTTTTGTTTTTAAACAGGTTTCTAAAAGTTAGTATTGAACTGACTTATAAGGTGACTTGCAACCTGCAATGCAAATGTTTATTGTATTTAATTGCTTATAACTCTCATTCTTCATTCAGATGGAGCTGCCTGGCCTTGCTTTTGCTGTTTTGATGTTTATTTGCTTCCATGTATCTGTGGATGGATATCCAAATGGGAAAGTAAGAGAAGCCTGCACTAGCATGGTGCCCTGTCATGGTAGCTCTCCAAAACTGTCACCTGAGCATGTCATTACAGTTAATAAGACTGAATTTAAACCTGGGGACAGTGTAGAAGGTATGATGCCAATTGTAATTTAAAAGCTGAATTAATTGTTTCTTTGTGCTATAGCATGTCTTTGCATGAGTAACAACATCAGAATTATGTACGAAATTGAGTCTTGTTCAGTTGACTCCTTCAGCAGTATTCAGTGCTTGTAAAATGAGCTGGTCATTGTGGAAGCACTTCATTTTTCCTCTGCAGGATATTGCAACTTTTTTGTTTTTATACTTCAGTTCAGCTATCTGGTCCAGATTTTGAAGGATTTTTCATACAAGCTCGAGATGCAGAAGACTTGGATAGCCCTGCAGTTGGTTCTTTTGTATTAGTTGACCGGAGACGTTCTCAGCTTCTAACATGTGGCCATACCATGGTACAGTCTACTATCTTAAAATGGGATGTTGGGCACTGTAGTATTTGTACTAGTTCACATATGTAACAGAGCAGAACAAATCTTTCTACTCTTATCATGAGGTCAGTAAATCTCTCAGGAAATCGCTGTAACTTCTATCATATAGGCATGGTTCACTGCAATTTTGCCTGACTATTCTTATGAGCTATTTAAATTCTCTAGGTCATGTAATACTACTGTAGTAAGGTGTAGCAGTCATAATACAACTTGAATTCAATGAGTGTAATGTTCTGCATTCATACCATTGTGCTTGTTCTTAAAAAGATGAGTACGTGTTCTACTTGCTTTGAAGAGGAGAGTTATCGAGGACAAAATGAGTGTCTTACAGTGAGGAAAGCTTAGGCCTATTATTGTGGAAAACAAAGGCTATAACAGACCATTAACTGACAGAACAACACTAAGGATAACGTTAGTGGAGCTTTCTTATTAAAAGGTTAGATCACAGTCTCGAGTATCTGTTTTAGATGAATTGGTTTAGCCTCATGCGAAGGATTGACTCCGATCATTGTTTCAGTAACCAGTTTGAAATTTATGAACTTATTTGAGCTGGTCTGAGCAAAGTTCTCAGTTTACCTGGATGCATTTTTCTTTCTCTTTGTCTTCCACTTGATACATGCGGAATCCAATTATTCATTAGTACTTTAAGGCCAATGGTAATTTTGATCATGAGTAACTTAAAGTTTTTGCTGTGACTGTGTATTTGTAGGGTAATGGTGCAATATTTATTCAGGGTTTAAATTAAAGCTCTTTAGTGCATATTCTGTGTAACTCTTAATATGTTTGTTTTCAGAATTCAGCTGTCAGTCACACAAGTAAAGCAAAAAAGAAAGTTGTAAAAGTTTATTGGATTGCTCCTGGAGATGCACCAAAACGTGTGCGATTTCTGTAAGTAGTCCTAATCTTAGTTCTGGCATATTAAAATGCAGAAAATAAACATGTAGCATTGTCTATAGCAAATACTAGCCAGCAACTGGGAAGGGTCCCTGCACTAATGGCCTGAAAAGTCAACACATATACGCAGTAGTCTACATTAATGCAGGTGTTTGTTCTTCAGGGAAATCTGTGAGACACTCATTTTATTTTTGAGATGAGAGTAGAATGGAGTTCTGCAATTTGGTATTTCTAGTTAACTGATGAATTATTGTGCATATATGGTGCTTTAATACACAGTGTGAATCTTTTTCTCTGTACGTAACAAAATAATCTTCCATTATACTGTCAGCTTTTTTCTGGAACTAATGGATATAAGTGAAGTTATAAATATGTCTTCTAAGACTGCTGTCTGTGCAGGAAGTATGAATGTAAGGAACACACAGTAGGGTGCTTTAAAATTATTTTTCCATCGGTATTTTAGGTATTTTCCTACTTAAAGCACAAGAAATGATAAAGGCCTACGTAAAGATGGAAGTACGCTATAGAAACAGCAGACTTTTTAAATAACATTCAGCTGTTGATGTATATAGTACTGATCAAGTGTGGGTGTGGGTTTTCTTAAGAGCCACAGTTGTGAAGAAATACAAGATTTTCTGGGTGAAGATTCCTGGTCCTGTTGTTTCTCAGCCTAATGCACCATTCTCAACAACACCCTTGTACACGGCATCAGAGGCTGTATCAACTTCACATTCAGTTTCCTACTTAACAAAGCCTGTAAGTAATTATAAACCAAAGAAATGCAATTTCTTATGCTTGTGATGAATGGAGTTTAAGTCCCATTGATATGGTCTAAGATATTTTGCCCCTAGATTAACAGAAGGGGAAAGATGAGTAATTTATGTACTGGATACTGGATACTAAGAGCTTTAGATGTCCACTTTTTGCATTAGGTTAATTACTTTGAATCTGTGTGGGTTAAATGTTTCACATCGCACATAGGCTAAGTTCTAAATGTTCTCTCAGCTTTTTGAAGGCCAGATTTAAAAAAAAAAAAATAAATTGTATATCTGAGAAAAGAAGTGAGAATGGACTTGTTCTGATCTTGATTCCAAACTTCCTGATCTTGATACCAAACTTCAGTAACTGCGGGTTCAGAAGCTTTTGATTTAATCAATATTATTGACTTCTGTTTCTTGAAGTTTCAGTGGACTGAGAAAGCATCAGTACTTGATGCAGAGTAATACTGATATCTATTGCATGTATTGTCTTATTGCTTATTAGTGGGATTTCTACTTTTAAAAAGGAAAAAAAGCTGGTCTTCCCTTGCTTTCTACTCTACAGCTGATTTTGACTTCTCAAAATTAAACTAGATTTTTTTTTCCAAACTTTTAAATTACTGAATGAAGTCTTTGAAGTGGGAATTCAGTTTAACTAAAAATACATCTTAGTATGTAAAATGGCAATAAATTCTACCCCTTGGTAGCTGTAGGAGTAAATTAAGAAATTGGTATATGGGCATAGATAGCATGCAAAGTAGTGGAAATAAGTGCCACCTTCTAGAGTAGGTTGAAAAGGGAGGAAGAAGAGCAAAAAAAAAAACAACCCTCATTGCTTATGACATTTGTTTGATTAATATTCTAGTTTAATGCATCAGGTTGTGGAAATACAAAGTTCTGCCTTAGGAACCCTTCAAACTGTGATCCTGAGAGTTCTTCCTGCTTTTTCCTATCCTTCCATCAAGAGAGGAGATCAGTACTTATTGAAATGAGTGGTCCCAGTGAAGGATATTTAGCATTTGCACTGTCCTATGACCGATGGATGGTGAGTGTCCTATTCTACTTCTCTAGTTTCTTTTGTAATCCTAGTAAAGATTCAGTGGTACCTTAGCAAAACATGCACATGGAAAACTGAAATATTTCTAAATTGAAAACAAAGACACTTCTTCCTTATAGTGCTGAAGGAGAGGTAATGGCCTTTTATATGTGATATGGAGTCTTAGCTCGAGGCTGACATTCTGCAGTAAATTGCCCTGTGGATATTTGTCTTCACAGAGTCCAACCTTAGCAATAGTACAGTAGCTGATTGGAATTCTTGGTAAGATCAATCTTGCCTTGCTACCTAGAAGAGAAAAACCAAACCACTGTTCAAAGCTATGTTGTTAAGTTTTCTGAAAACCACTTGAATTTCAGTATCGTTAACATGAGTGACGCAATCCAATCTTTAGAATGTGTTCAGGGACTTATAATTGCAGTTGAAGTGAAGGGACAATGCTGCTGACAAATATGAAATCCATAAAGTAACTGTTGTACAAAGGAGATACTCTTTATTTTCATGTTCCTAGTAAAATAGCACTTTGTTCTTAAATATTTTATATCTATACAGCTATGAGAAACCACTTTAACCAAAGAGCTTTTTAAAATACCATCAATATCTGACTCTATATTTTTTGGTAAATTTAGTAGAATTATAAATATCTAGAAGAACTTCTAATGCTGTCACTTAGGGGTGGATGGGTAGGGTAAGTCATGATATGCCTGTGTCATCTGTTTGGCTTAATGTGGCTCCCCTGTAACACTGAGATGTTTGGAAAATGGGAAAAAGCTTAAAAGCTAGAAAACTTTGTCTTGAGTCTTCTGCTATACCATTGACCAACACTACCAATTTGTTGCATGTATTGAATTAACGTGCTTTAGGAGGTTGCCAGTAGGAGTTTTTACTAATCTATAAATACTTTTTCCTTTTAAACTTTCTAGGGTGATGATGATGCATATCTGTGTATTAATGAGGACCACCATGTTAGTGTAAGCACTGCTTACCTGAAGGGACGAAGTCCTCCTGTTCTGGATTCAAAGGTACACATAGAAGCATCTATACTTTCCAACAAAAATGGGTTTGAAATGATGAATGGTCTGACTGCTCTGTGCTTTTATTTTGAAAAGCAGTCGTAAATAGTAAGTTAAATGTAGAATTCTTTAGTGTGAAAATGGTTAGGCTTTTTCTCCTAGTAAACATCACCTCTGGAAGCCTAAATTTATTTTAAAAATAAGTAATATGGTGAGAGTTCTGAACTCAGTACACATGGCTGGTACAACTGTGCCCTTTTACTAGGGAGAGCATATTTGAGTTGTAAGAACTTGTGGAAATAAATACAAACCTTAAGTTGCTACACTGACATACCTTCTAAGTTATTATACAAGAGATTTTTCTTTCCCCAGATCATTGCCTCATCATTTCTTTGTGCAAGTGATACTTAGCCTTGCAAGAGACATAATTTTAAACTAGTTACTCTCCAAATCTCTTTGGATGTATTAGCACAGCAGAAGGTGAACCAAAAGGAAGTCTTGACATTTTAGCTAGAAATACTTGCTTAACGAGGAGGCTTTAAAACAGAAAAGTGAGTCAGGACCTCTATCGTATATAGCCTTGTTAGAGCGGTGTGGTGCTGGAACAGGTTGCCCAGAGAAGCTGTAGATGCTCTATTCCTGGGGTGTTCAAGGCCAGGTTGGATGGGACCCAGGCAGTCTGATCCAGTGAGTGGCAACCCTGCCCATGGCAGGGGGTTTGGAACTAGATGATTTTAAGGTCCCTTACAACTCAAGCCACTGTTTGGTTCTATGACTGCTGATCTTACTCTTAATGCTTTTTTGTGGTTGTACTGGGCTTTTACTTTGACTGTTTTCGTAGTTCTGTGGAGAAGGCTGGTCATTTATTTGCTATTAATGTATATCTTATCTTGAAAGCAGTTGACCCAAATTGTAATGGTCTGACACTAGAGTTAAACTAGATATTAGGAAAAGTTAACTTACTGTGAGGGTTGTCAAACACTAGAAGAGAGTAACTGTTAAGGTAATTGATACCTGATGAATGTCAGTGTTCAAAAAGCATTTAGATAATGCTCTTGAATTGAATGAAGTGGTTAGGCAGTTGAACTTGATTTTTACCTTCCAACTGAACTGTTTTATATCCAATGCTCTGTTACTGTATTAAGATCATCTAGAACTGCAGAGGTGAAAAAATTAGCTCTTGGTTCTGTTAGTGTAAGAAATGCTTTATCTCATTACCTGAGATATCATAGGAATACTGTTTGTGTTGCCAACTTGAAACAAGCTCAATCAGTGGCCTTCAAAGCAATAAAAGAATTGTTTGTCTGAAAAGACTCCTTATCAAATGTTTTCTGTTTCACAGAATGCTCTTGAAGATGTGTCATGGAGGCTTGTGGATGGTGTTCTTCAGTGTTCTTTTAGAAGGAATATTAGCCTCCCTACATATAAGGGGAGGTTTAACATGAATGCCAGTTACTACATCTTTCTGGCAGATGGGGAAGCTAGTGAAGGTAAATTTGATGTGTGGTTGCTTTTATTTTTTTTTATCAGCTCTAAATGAGTTGCCCCAGTGTAAGATACATTATCTGTAATAATTAGTATCCAAACTAAGGACTTGATTTCCAAGTTTGAGTGAGGCACTTTGTCCAGCCACCTGTATTGGCTCTCGGATTTGCTCCTGGAAAATAAAGTAAGCTTACTATATACTTGTGTTGCATGCCCACTTGATCCTAGCAACTTCTAGCTTCTTGAGGCCTGGGTGCATCCATTTTAAAATGGAGAACAGTATCAACAGGAATTATTCTTTACATCCTGTGTGTGTAGGGAAGAGGTCTGTTTTCTATGGATATGTAAGTACATACAGAGATTAGATGTCATCTTCAAATTTTGATTCACAAGCTGAGTTCCTACCTTATTTCATGTTAGACATTTTGTATAACTACCCTTCATGGTCACAGTAGGGCTTAAATTCATAAATAAGGATTAGATTTATTTTGCAAGTGCTGTACCTCTCTCATATGCCTTAATTAAACGATTTTATCACTGGTTAGGTGGTCCAATATATAAACATCATCGTCAGCCTCTGATCACCAATGGAATGTACAATGTCACAGGCATTCCTCAGGATATTGGAGGTTCCCGGTCCCCAAGACTTATCAAGGCTCATGGTAAGCTGCACTTCTTAGCTTTGACTTCCAGCTCAAGATCTACTGAGACTAGAGAGTTGTTTTACTCACTGTTGTATAGTAGGTATTTTCTCTTGTCTTCCTGTCATTTGCATTATACATACTGTTGGGTAGCAAGATCTGAGACTGTGAAGTCAGAGTAAAGTTATTGTTTTCCATTTCAAGAACACTGCTACAGGATTTCCCTCTTCCCCCCTCCCCCCCCCCCTCCCGTTTTCTATCTAAAATGAGAATTTTCTCAACTGATAGTCCGGAGCCAATGAAATTGCTGAGAATTATTTTCTCAGTACTGAAGTGTGAACCAGGCTCATGAGAAAACTCATTCTGTTGAAAGCTTGTAATAAAGGTCAATTATCACTCTTTGTATAAGTTGCTCCATCATGCCAAGAGTGTTGTAAACATCTTTATATGTATGATTCTACCCACTAGCAAGATAAAATACTACAAAATTTTAGACTGAACTAGGTGATTAAAAACTTATCAATGGCATATTCTGACTGTATGCAGATGGAATAAACCATTAAAACCCAGTCTGAAGCAGTATTAATATACAGTTGAATTAGCCATGATGAACTGTTTCTTTTTTTACCTGTTTCTCAGGTGCACTGATGTTTGTTGCTTGGATAAGTACAGTTAGTATTGGTGTTGTTGTTGCACGATTCTTCAAGCCTGTCTGGTCTCATTCGTTCCTATTTGGAAAAGAGCTATGGTTTCAGGTGGGCAAAAGCTCTCCCATATCTCTAGCTGTATGTTCTGCCTCTATAGTTGGCAAAATTAAAACCGACTAGATCTAAGAAATAAGAGGTCAAATTGGATGTTGTTTTCTTTATTTAATCTTGTAGAATAACTACAAATCAGAAATTTACCTCCTACAGTAGTAAAAGCAAAGTCCAAAGAGGCAGCTGAGAACATTCTTACCTACAGATCATTAGATGTATTTTAATATATACTAGAAAAGCTGTGGAGCTTCTAAATGTGAACTTCATTTTCCCAGGTGCATCGTATGCTTATGTTGACCACCGTTATGCTTACCAGCATTTCTTTTGTATTGCCTTTTATATACCGAGGTGGTTGGAGCAAAGTAAGTGTAGTGTTTTTTTTTTTAATTCTTACTAATGTAAAAGTAGAACCAAATGAAAGAGAAGTAGGTCTGTTGCTGATTTGATATGTTACAACTATTGTCAAAGAAATTTCCTGTAAATCTGTTAAGAAGGCTGACTTCAGATTCTAGCAATATAGATGAGGAATGTTTCCTCCTTCAGCTATAAGTGAATAAAATTCCATCATATTTTCCTTCCTTCCACTTTCTCCTAAATGAAATCCTTGGTTACACTGGGGTACAGGCAGGGATCTGTTGCTGTCACCTGTATGTTATCTGGTGCAAGGTGATTCCAGAAACAGGGAAGTTCTCCGAGAGAATCTCTATTAAAGGTGGGATACAAATGCCGCAGGCATGAGTTGATAGCTAGGGGAAATGAGTAAATTCTTTTAGAGTAAGACTAGAGCAAACAATGAAAGGGGGAAACCAGTACTGGGAGGAATTAAGAAATAGGCCTTTCCTGATGATATGTGAGGATGAAGAGTTTACAGCATTGCTGCCACAGTAATACTACTCTTCTGTTTAGGTGGAAGAATTTCTTTGTACAAGAAAGATGAGGCAAACCCTGAGCAGACTTATTCGTGCCTCCTTCTCCTTTGGAGAACCACCTCCATTCAGCTGTGTTCTGTCACCACTGTCAGTTTAAACACATTGCTGTTCTACTACTATAATTTACTTTTGCTAGCTTATGTAAAATTAACGTATTTCTGATATTTTTTTCTATATCTTTATACGGATATTAAACAAAAAATGTTTTATGTTTAGCAAGCAGGTTTTCATCCGTATCTTGGCTGTACTGTGATGGCTCTGACAATCTTTCAACCTCTTATGGCAGGTTTCAGACCATCTCCTCATGCACCAAGGTACTCACAACTAACTCATTAAATTTTAATCACAGAAATAAAATGTCTTATTGTTACCTGCTTTAGATAAATCTTTTCAGTATCTTTTTTCAATTATTTTTTTCCTAAACATAATAAAATGCTTTTTTTTATTTTATAGGAGGCAATTGTTTAACTGGTTTCATTGGAGTATTGGTACAACTGCTAGAATACTAGCTGGTGAGTAGGAGTAATAGTTGTAACTATCTTTTATGTGATATGAAGGAACTCATGCTGTTAATTATCTAGATTATTATTCATCTAGAGCATCTTTCTGGACATCCAGATGTTGAGTTTTTAGCTCAAGTGATGTTTTCTGGTGTGAGGCAAACTATTCTAATTTTGAAACTGAGGGAAAAAAGCCAACAAAAAACATCCAAACTCATAATACCAAAGTGACTTGGACAAATTTGTTCTTACAGTACCATAGCTCAATGTTGCAGTCTTGTTTAAATTAACTTATAGGACTACAAACTGGTTTTTGTTCTCTTTGTGGAGACAAGGTTCCACAGTCAACTTAAGCACAAAAGTTTCAGTGACTGTGGTCGTCCTCATAGTCAGAAATGCTCATGCTTTTATGGCAGTGAAGAGCACTGTGCAGGATAAAAACTATTTTGGTCTCCTGGCCTTCCTCCTTCTGTTTCCATACCCATTCCATATAGCAAAAGCTTTTTAGTTTCACGGACTCCTTTAACCTCACTCCCCAAGAAACCATAGGTATTTTGTGGGAAATCTGTTGACAAAGGTGTGTTAAGAAATTTGCTTTAATTGCCCTGACACAGCACTCAGCATCTCTTCATCTCATTTTTACTGACTAGTGGTTACTATGTTCTTGGGAATGGATCTGCCTGCACTTGACCTACCAGACCCATGGGGCACCTATACAATGATTGGTTTTGTAGCTTGGCATGTTGGTACTGATGTTCTTCTGGAGATACACAGCTACTGTCTCATACGTAAAGGTACAAGTCCAATTAAGCTTATTTTTGCTTGCAAAAGAGCTGAGTAAGCTGAGTTTCAAGAGGTGTTTTTTAGTTTCTAACTTACAAGCTGAAGGGAATAACTAGGAAATAATGGTGCACAAATTCATATAGCAGTAAAAAAAGTTTTCAACTTTTAACTCATAGATGTTTTGTTCAGCTCAGATCTCACTATCTTGATTCATTCTATTGAAAGACAATTTTCTTTTGTCATCTTAATGACCAAAACCTACTCTTTGTATGTCAACTCAGAATTTGTTTCTGCTGTAAAGTTTGTGAAATTTCAAATGACTTCCAAGTGCTTTTCAAATTTGGTGCTGTACAGGAATGATTTACTTAGTCATAGGATCAAAACTTCTGCTATATGAATACAAAAAAAATCCCTTCCTCTTAAGAGCAGACAACTGTATTTTTTTTCTTTCACATAACAGTTGAACTGATAGAGGATGACAGAGTACAGATATTGCAGTCACTCACATCTGCAGAAGCAGAAGTAAGTAACCATTTTTACATACCTACCCTGAGATGATGTTTTTAAAAACAAATAGACTAATACTTCTGTGTTTTTTTTTTCTTGTTTTCTTTTGTTCTCTTGCAGGGTAACCTGTTTAAACAGATTGTGTTAACCATTTATGTCTGTGGAAATATAATATTCCTCATTGCCTTCCTGGCAGCAATCAAACAAGTATGAAATAAGAAATTGAGAACTTTGCATTGAAGTGCCATGCAGCTGAATAACACGCAAGGAATACTTCCTATTATGTTTCCCGTCAACACATCCTTGAAGATGTGGTTGAAGAGCAATAGCATGTGTAAAAGGGAGAACAATTCAAATCAATAGAATGCTGGAATCCTGCAAAAGCTGTCTTCAGGTGTTATTTTTAATGGGAATCTTTGCCTGAGTAAGGAAAGAAGTGTTTTTTATAAGTATAATAATTTATGTGGTTAGAGTTTAAAGGCTAAGAAGAGTGAGAAGGTGCACTGAAATTACTGTTTTGATAGTCACAGTTTCCTAAACCTTTTGGGAATATTACTGGGAAAACTGTAAAGTGTGATCCCAATTCTGTGTTCTAATGACATGGTTTGACAATCTCCTGCTTGTGACAATTTTGTCCCACATAAAGAAAAAAAACTTACTGAAAAAAACTGTCACAAATGCTTGAGCTAAACATTGTTTATCTTTGCAGTTTAATGCAAAAATTATTCTCTGCTCTAAGAGCAGTGCACATATACAGAGGCTTGGGAACTTCAGTTCTTTAGTAAGATCATCATTTTCATCACTCAAAATACTGTTTTGTTCTCTCAGTGCTTCCAAGCTATAACAAGGAAAGCATGTTTGCAAATGTACATTAAAACCTAGTTCTGCTTATCCAAAACTCAAACAGGAAAAACCCCTATCCATGTGCATGTACTTGTTCTGCTGTCTCTGGTCACTTGTTGCTTCTGAATTGCTGTTCTGTACGAATAAGATGGGGCTCACGCAACTTCATTCTTAAAGTTAAGTGAAAGTATTTGCTCAGTTATATTGCAGTTACATTTGCTCTATTGAATGCACTGCTGAAATAGTGATTAGGAGTTGAATTGACTTGAGGAAAATGCATCTCCTTTTAGTGTAAATGAGCATTCTTTGAACTGCTATGTCTGACATTTTCTTACTTTCATAGATGCTTTTTTAGTCAGTAACTAATTTATCTTAATAATATGGTATGGGGAATGGAGGGAGACTATTCTCAACTTCTTCGGTTTCTGGCTTGCTTAGATATTGAGAGTCACTTTTTAACTGAAATCTCATAAATTAACCCTTATTATACTAATTATAGTATGCAGTACAATGTTTTGCTTTTTTTTTTTAATTGGTTGTAAAATTTCAAAGTATACCTCTACCAAAGGGTTGTTAACCTAGCTAAGAATAAAGGTGTTGACAAATATGATAGGTCCCAGTATTTACTGTTCTAGATGTAAAGCATCATAGCAAGTTCTCTCTGCTACCTGATGATCATGCCTAAGACACTTCCATGAGTCAGGTAGTGGTTCTTTCCAGTAACTAAAGCTGTCTAGTTCAGCTGTTTTTTCCTTGAAACTCACAATGCAGCCTGTTGCAAAGATAAGTCATTCAGAATGTATCAAGTTTGTGGACAGAGATCTTGCTTGCTCAAGTAACTTAGTTATAAGAGCCTTTATAGAGCTGGAATTAATCCCTTTTGTTAGCAGCTCAGTAGATTACAAGTGAGTTTAAGCTGAGTGAATCTCCTTTCCCCCCCAGCTGGAGAAGACAAGAGGAGGCTAAGAAGAAATATGGCACAAGTCAGGCTGAAGAGCAACAAGCGTTTTCTTTATGTGAGGTTTTCATTTTGTTCTTTGGATATCTTTGATTTCAAATACCTAGGAGTCATAGATCTATCAGCACTAAAATTTTGGGAGCTCTTCAATATACTGAGTTTACAGAAGAAAATCTCTACTCAGACATGATAATAGCTTTTGAAATTAAGTCAGTGCCAGATTCCTTCTATAATATAACAGCTGTGCTGTGTTCCTTTGTTCTCATGTGTAAGTGGGGGTTTTTAAAACATGAATGTAAGTATCTTAATTGTTTCTCTTCTAATACAGTGGAAACACTATCAAATAAAAATTAGACTAGTTTGACATAGTAGTAATCAATCAATGTTTTCATTGTAGATGCTTATTTCACAAATTAGCAATTTGAAAAGCAATTCAAATGTTTCTTGGAGAAACTCTTGAAATTGAGTGTTAGAAATTGGATGTTAAAATGTTTATTTACTGTGGAATAGCTCTTTCCTGAGAGCTACAGAGTTTGCAGACTTGCTGGTTGCTCTTAAATAATGCTCTTTCTTAGTACTAGTAATAATCTGTAGTTTGCAATGTATGGCCTTTCCTGACACATTCCAGCATCTTCAAATCAAAGTCTTGTTAATTTTTAACCACCTTCGTGCCCACCTGCATGACTAGTAAGAGGAAGCAAAGTGATTGTATTAAAATGACTCTCCCAAAATTCCTGTTACAATCTTTGAAAACAAAAATAAAAATGTAAAAATGAGGAAAAAAAAAAAAAACCCTCTGTGCAAGTGTTTGATGGAAAAAACAGGTAGCAGGAAATTTGGTTCTAGAGGCACTGGTGGCTTAATATTGTTTAGAAGGAGACTCCTGTTGCTTTTCTTCATAACAGAGTCCTGCTAAAGCTGAGAGACATTGATATCAAAAGGTTAAGGTTTTGATGTTTCTAGTCTTGGGTTAAGCTTCTGATGACAAATCAAAGATATCATATTTCAGATTGGTTCCTTCTAGATTGGTAAATTCTCCCTGTCAAGAAAAAATTCACCTCGAAATACTGCTCATCTGCTCTTGACAACTACAAATAATGTTTCTTGAAGATATTTCAAAGAAAACTAGGTGGTGCAAATTGCTTAAATGTGTTTGAATTTATTGCTGCTTTGCTTTGCTTGAAATCTTTTTTTTTTTGCAAGCAAAAGTTTGGGTGCAAGATGAACAAAGTCAGGAAAACATTTTTAATGTCAAACACAAAACCATTTGTTTGTTTTGCCAAAAACTGTATGTAGAGGCATGTATCGAGTCAATGCATGTCAATGTTTTTTCTTTTATTCAGGTTTGAGAAGGCTAGAGAGATCTTGCCTGTTGTTTTCTATCATTATCTGTAACACTGTGTGGCGCTCTTGGTCAAATAACATTTTTATTTTGCCCACAGTGTAAAGTTCAAGCACGTAAACAGCCTCCACAACAGGAAGTCTTCCTAGACAAAATATTCATAATATTTCTCAAGCTTTATTAAATAAATGAATCTTTAGATTCAAGCTAGTTCATACAGATAGACATAATGTCTATGCTTAAGTTCTGTTGGAACAGTAATGACTTGCTTTCTTTTGAAAGTAAGCTGTGCTTTACACATGTACATCTTTTTTTCCCCAGACAACTTAAGATGAGTGACTATCATGGAGCAAGAACTAAACTCCTTCTGCATTTCACTGCACAAATTAGACTCAGTGATTTCTGACAGTGAAGAAAGAATGAAAGAAAGATGGTTAAAAGGGATGATCTGCTAGTATTCCTGAGAAATTCTTAGCTCAGATCAGTATGATCCTAAGCTTTAAGGTGCGTGTACGTGTGAAAAGTAGAGCCGTTCCATACATTTCTCTGAAGGAATGGTACAACAGAATAGACACAGGATAAGTGAAGAACCACCCCCACAAGCCCCCCACCCAGCCAGACGCCAATCTAAAATTTTAAAATTCTGCAGAGGTGTTTCACTACCCAAGAGGGTGGTAGTAACAAATCAGCTTGTGCTGCGTATGGTGTTTTTACACTACTTTGTTTTTTGGAACTGAATTTTACCTGACAATTTACTTAATAGTCACAGTTCTGATGTCTTCTCAGTTTCCTTCCTTTTAAACTATTTCTGTATTGTGTTTGCCAGATCACTTAAGGATATTACTGGGGAATGCAGAGAATGACTGCCCAAATCAGTCATCTTCTGTTATAAAAGTTGCCTGTGTAACTTTTTCCTACTGTCCAAATTATATCCCCTTGAGAACCTCTAAGATGCATCTTAAAACAAAACAAAAACAAACCACTGAGTGTAACTGTTGGAACTAAGCAGTAATGGGAAAACAGATGTCTTCAGAGAAAGAGGGAAGAAAAAACTTCTACTACAAATAAGGACAGGCTAGATGTAGAGAAAATGCAATTGTTTATTCATCTATTATTTCCATCTCCAGGTAACCATCTTTCACAATTCCTAAAATATGAGATTATCTGTTCACTGTCTACTTCAGACTGGGACCACCACCTGCTCAGAGGCTGTATGTCAGCTGATTACTACTGCTGTGCCTCAGTATGAGGTAGTGGCTTCAGTTTCCTGCTTTGAAACGAGAAAGGCAAGCAAAAAAGTTATTTTTGTTATTTGATAGATATTTCTGTTATTTCTACAACAGAACAATACGATCTGACCTTCATCCACTTAGCAACTGAAACCAGCCTAAGACCTACCAAAGTAATGCTATCATACTGATTTGAATAGAAGGATGTAGAGTGATGAGGCACTTTTTTCCCAAGAACCTGGTATTAGAAAAATGACGACTAGCATTTGACTTTCCTATGTATGATTATACCTTACGGCTGCTCTAAGTGCTGTGTCTTTCCTCCATCGTGGAACAAATGACCATGTTGAATGGCAGGACCCTGCTGCTTGTAGGGGACCCATGCCTAGCAGCAGCTGCCCCCAGAACAGACCTGTTGCAGCTGCAGGACAAGCCATTGACAAGTTAGTTTCTGATGGGAGACCTGCACTAATTTTAGCTCTCCTGACTGATGAAACCTGTGTACTAAGCAATAATGTTAATGACTGACAGGCACTGCCTGTCTGGCAACCAGCTTTCTGGAAAAGTAACACTTTGTGTAGTGAGCTAGGAGGTGAAGCCATGCCTGGGAGGTCAGGCTGTTTACAGTGTTATGCACAGGGTCTGTGAGGTATGAGCAGGAAACATGTATGTGATGTGGGGAGGGAAACAGGATTTTAGGGTTGCTGTACTGTCCTACATAAAGGAGAAAGATGGGTGGATTGTGGTGCTCTAGAAACATGCCTAAATACCTAAATGTAGGCTCTACTACTTTGGTATTGTTTTACTTTTAAAAAAGGGACGCTTCAAATTTTGGACAAGATACTAAGCTTGGAAATCAGCTTTATATAGACACTTTTTCTGGCTTCTATCTCTCAAACTTAGTTTTTAACTAATGTTTAAAAAAAAAAGGTTGGAACATCATTTCATTTTTAATCAAACATCAGACCAGTATGTTTTAGAGGGATAGCATCCTGTGAAACTCCCTGGAGGTGGGTGTTCAGCTGTTGTGTATGTAGCAACAATATATTTCTGATTGTGGAGACAGGTAACGTGCATCTTCCCTCTTGGATATATACTGCATTTATGGTCTTAGGTAACTTTCTATTACCTCTAAAAATTTAGGATTTCATTTATGTCTATGTGGCACAGTTGGTCAAAACTAAAAGTCTGAGTCCATTGGGTTATGCGAAGTGCAAAATAACCCAGATGCATAAAACAGAGGAGCAAAACAATAGGCATTAAGATCCAAAATGTATACTGAAGAAACTCCTTAGCTTTACACTGCTTTGAGTAGTAATTTCTACTTCCATGTCATACAGCTGTTAAATCACCTTTTTCCCCAGCTTTGCCATTCTCATCCTCAGAGCTGAAAAAAAAGAAAATAAAGCCACTGTTATTTTAAGTCAAACTTTCTATTTCTGGTACTAAATCACTGTGTTTAGAATAATGAAGAATACACATACCTCCAATGGTGAATCCAGCAGAATAAGCATTGTTTTAGTGTTACAGAAAGAAATTAGTAGAAGGCATTAGTTCTGGTTACTTTATTGCAAAGTGAGCATATATTTAAGAAAAAAAAATATCCCATTATTGCTACTTGAAAATTAGCACAGCTCTCCTGTTTTGTTTGCTACCTTCACTAACACATTGCAGACAGATGGTATTGTCCTTTGCAAGATGCTGGCAGATTAAAAGGATGCATGAATAATTAAACGAACCCTTTGTTTAAACTAAACTCCTCAGCAGGAGCTGTAACTGCTTGGAAACCTTTTTTCTTTTATGTTGATGTTCACAGATCTTTCCTCTTCCTCGTGCAGTGAGTCAGGGTGGCAGTTAGTCATATTCCTGAATTAAATCTGACAGAGTAATTTATCCGTATAAACATGAGTATGGCTATAGTCTGTAGCTGGATATAAGGTGGGTTAGTTCAAAAGTGACAGTGCAGAGCAGATGATTAAATGTTAAGGTTATTTTCAGAACAGCAATATAATGCTTTTGTTTGATACGTAAGAGCCTCCCCCACTAAGCTGTTGATCTGAGAATGCAGTGGCAATAAT